TTCTACTCTCAAAATCAACAAGGCATGTTTTCTCAGACAATCCACATACTTTTGTGTATACACTTGTGTTATCTTTTATTTTCCTTTTCGTTTTTCTCTTGCATGGGGTCAGAAATATTTTCATCCATACTTTTAAAATATTTATGGATCAAATTAAGAACAACAACCTAAAAATACTTACTGTAAACTGTCAAGGCCTTGGTAACATTCATAAAAGAAGAGATGTGCTAGAGAATTTAAAAAGCTAAGAGTTATAATGTTTACTTTTTACAAAGTACCCATTTTGTGGGAAAAGATGAAAACTTTATAAGAACACAGTGGGGATATAAAGCTTTTTGTTAGTTCATTCAAATCCAATTTAAGGGGTGTTGTTATCCTTTTTAATAATAACTGTGAAATAAAAGTCATCCATGAATATAAGGATACTGATGGTAATTTTCTAATTTTGGATGTTTTTTTTTAGGATATCTCTTTTTTACTAATAAATATTTATGGTCCAAACTCTGACAAACCTAATTTCTATACTTAAGTTTAGTTCATAAAACAGGGGAGATTTACTCTTCTCACTTCATTTTCACTTCCTAGCTATTGCTATACACTGTAAAAATTGTGTTTAGGAAATAAACACTTCTATTACATGTTTAGATCTAAACGTGTTTAGTATTGTGTTTAACAACTAAACACTTATGTCTTAACATGTTTTATATCTAAACGCGTTTAGAAATTAAACACGTTTTACTGTAAAATGCAGAGTTATCTTCCCGGAAATGACACACATATATTTGAACGTTAATTTGAGCGGCTATGTAAACAAAGAAAACACAACAAGCTAAGGTGATGTATCAATGAGAGTTATGACAACCCAATTCAAGGGATAACCATGACGAAATAATGAAATACGTGAAAGGGCATCTTGTTGCTGCAATACATTATAGATTTGTTTTCTTCTTCTTTGCATTAATTAACCACGATGAGCACCGTAAATAAAGTTGACTTGGGATGTCTTGAATTCGTTCATAGACTTGCAGGAGAAGAAATTGTATTAAATGTCTTTAAAATCATCTTTATTTATATCTGTGAAGTTTCACTAAAACTTGAACAATTTTGTTTTTCTAAGTAATGTAAAATATCAGTAATAGTGTACTTTTTCTAAAATCTGGCTTTCTTTCCTACAGGCACCGTACGTAGTCCAGATCGAATTCAAAATACACGTATCAGAGTACCTGGTGTCATCTTCAAGTGCAATGTTGTTGTTCCATAATCAACACTTTGAAACTTCATTTGTTGAAGACTACTGTGTGAATTCGACAGTGTTTACAATTATCCTCGTGCATTCGAAATGGGTTACTTTCTGGCAGTTATTGGTGGGATATAGATTATAATATGTGGTGCTTTGGGACTTGCTGAAAGTTCATAAAATTTGATATTTTGTGATTGACATGAGGAAAACTCTGCAGCCGATTCAAAATATGATTATAATAAATATATATATAAATATACATTTTGTATTTTTAGTTTAACAATTCTTTAATAAAGCCTTTTAGAAATATTCAATGAAGTTTTGATATTTAAATTGTCAGCTTAATATTATTTTCTTAATAATTTTGAAGATTAAAAGTTTGTTATCTATGTGTACGTTATAAATTATGTGTCATTCTGATTGAATTGTTGAGATTCATCAAATCTATTCAGTTCTATCTCCTACATTATTTGTGTAAATTAAGTACATGTACATCGCACAGTGACCATTGCATTGTATAATTAAATACATATCCCAACGTTCAGTGCCTTTATGGAAAATAATATTGGTTACATATTTTGACAATTTTGACCATTATGCGCATTTAAAAACATCTACTTTTTGTGCCTAAATTTACAAGAGTGTTTTGATTTTCTGCAGGTACAAATTAAACTTATGATGTGTTTAGATTGTAAACACATCTGCTGTTATGTGTTTAGAATTTAAACACTTGTGATTATGTGTTTAGATATGTTTAATTTCTAAGCACACAAGTGTTTAAATTCTAAACACTTTCTAAGACATGTTTAGGAATTTTACATGTTTAGAAATTAAACATATAAAAAAGGAGATGACAAGAAAGTGTTTAGAAAAGTCTTTGAATTGTAAACACATTTTTTACAGTGTATTCATTTATCTTTTTTCTTAACGATGATCACTATATAGATGCAACATGCCAAGATTAAGTCATTTGAAATATCATGAAAAGCATAGTTGAAATTATTATATCAGTTTTAATTCTGTTAATACTGGAGTTACACATCTTTGTTCATAATGAAGTGTGATATCCTGATAAACATGCAACATCATCAAAATATGAATTAATCATCAGATATACATGAAACATTACTAAGTTTACAAACTTTGTGAAGTTATTATGTGGATCGCATGATTCCATTCATATGTGGACTCGATATATCCCAGTGAACTTGAAATAAAAGACACCGCAGTCTGCCTCATCTCGTTCATATAGGATGTTTTACTGCCTATAGACGATAAACGACAACTAAATTGTATGACAAACGAGATGATTTCAGCTTTTCCATCGTCAACATTCTTTATTTTTGTAGTATTATTCCGCTGACACCTGCACATGGTGTTGAAGTCTCCCATTTAATTCGATACACAAAAGCATGCTGAGTCATTTTTTAAAACCGAGGCAGGATACTGACAGATATGTTGGTGTTATAGGGATTTCAACAACATCGTATAAAGTCAGAATTTCGTAAATTCTATGGCAGTTATCAAGGTCCACCTTATTAACAAATATAACCTAATCTTTGGATGGTATTTTATATTCAAAAGGAGAAGGTATTGTTTTGAAGTATAATAATTCGTAAACCTTCAATATAGATTCTTTTTTTAAATCAGGATATTTGTCAATCCAGTGTTCAAGGACCCTCTGTACACTGATGAAAAATGGTTTTGGAACTTTGAGAAAATTATATATAGCGTAAAGAAAGTACACATATTGAATTATTCTATGAAATAAGTGGAGATAACGAACAGTATTCAAGCTCAAAAGTCCATTAAACATTACAAAATAAGAGCAGAGCAAACACGGACCTCTACGACATCAAAGGTGGGATCAGGTGCCATGGAGGAGTGAGCATCCCCTGCCGACCGGTCACACCCGCCGTGTGCTTCTTGTCATGATCGGGAAATAACGGAAAAATCCGTCGACAATTCAGTGTGTAAATAATGGCCTAACAATTAGTATGAAAAACTTCAGTCAGCATTTGACTTAATGATAAACTGTATTTACTGACAACGTCATTGTATCGACCATAGAACTTACGAAATGATGTCAAATAGTGGATGAATCTAACTATATAAAAGTACCCTGGAATTAGTGTACAGTGTAAAGGATCCTTAACAGATTTTATACTTATGTCAACATGTATGTTTTTATATAAACTTATGACATTGAATAACACCGATGAACCTGTTTACAAAATATTTTATGACTAAGACAATCTTTTTTGCATTCTCTTAAAATTGTACAAGCCATATTGTAGGTCACAGAAATCTAACATTTATATTACATTGTAAGTATTGTGAATTATCCTTTGGGAAAAAATACTTTTGTTAAGAAAGAAATCATAGAGTTATAATAAAAAATCTTAGTCGTTAGATGTTTTTGTGAAAAAGAACTACTGTAGGTCTTTTCACCAAAAAAAATAATAATAATAATAATAATAATCTTACGACTAAGATTTTTTTTAAAAAAATTGTTACCTACTACAAGTGTACTATGGCTTGGACAAATTTTAAAAGAATGAGAGAATTTTTGTCGTAAGATATTTTGTAAACAGGTAATCACAGTTTCGTATTATGAAGAAAATATAAATCAATCAAAATGTATAGTATTTCATCTCATTAGCAACGATCAGTTTCTCATAATATGTTGATACAGTGAAGTAGAGGGCGACCACCTTTGGTACAATGTACACCTAAAACACATTTATTGTAAATCTGACCTTTCGTTGACTTATGGACAGAATCGTATAGTAAGACGTGAAAGATATAAATCTATTCGCCATAGCCATTGTTACTGACAGAACAATTCCAAGCATACATCTGTTCTGTGGGCAATTGTAGAAAAAAAATTCTACAAATACAGTTGTTAAATCAAGATTTGATCCAAAACGAAGTCTACATTTGTTCCAGAAAAAGAAGATTGCAAATTAGAAATGGTATTTGCAGAAGATTCAGATTGGAGAAGAATATGATCCTTGATGGCGTTGTAAAGACAAATCAAGGTTAAGCCAAGCATCCAGCAGACGGGAAAAACAACACACGTATGCCTGTTAATAGCTGATGAATGGGTTGTATATAATAATGGGAAACAGTGTAATTTAAGAATGTGTCATATGGCAATCATTAATGGCACGTTTATTACGTTTTATCATCATGTACGGGCGCCGTTATTGAAAAACAAAAAGATTCTGTAGAGAAAACAAACATTAACTGTAAAAAAAAGCAAGATGTTGTGTAAATAAGTAATTACATGAACATAATATTTTTGCAAATATGTACCGTTGTCAAAATTATTATTAACAGGGTGTATTTTGTTTTAATAAAGGTAACACAAGTATAAATTACTATTACAGGTGTATTCTGTTTTGATGAAGGTAACATCAATTTCTACTTTATAATTATATTACAATCGCCAGCAATAGGCACAGTCAATTTGCTGACAAAAGAAAGTGATGTACTCTATTAAGCATGTGATATAGGTTGCTAGCATTTTTATTTCAATTTAAGTGCAGGATTTCTCTGATAAAGCACGTTGATGAGATAAATTGGTTTTTTTTCTTAAGATAACCAAGTATGTTATACAAATTTGAAACGAAGTGTTTTTGGAGAAATTCATCATGAACCTTTTTCTATTCCAGGCTACATTACAGTCGGTGTTATAAAATAATCGATGAATATCCCCCACATTCTCTTACTTGTGACGTCGCAGTTCGCCGTGCTAAAAAAATATTAAATCTCTGGCGGTTGTAGACGAACACATGTAAACAATGTTTCGGTGGATGGTAAACGGTGTTAGGAGGCTTTATCAACCTTTGTGTGTTTTATCCGGGAAGACACATTCAAATCTGGTGAGTTTTCTACCGAAAACTATTTGTTTTAGAGCTATTTCTTGTAATGCACATACACATTGACAGGAAAAACAAAGGTAACATTTTTTTTTTAAATTCAGTTTAAAACAGGATTAATTTTTATTATATATATAGATATATATATTTATAATGCCTTAATTTGCGCATTCTTTGTGAACGAACATTGTTATCTGGTAAATGCACGTCAATATAGGCATATCACTATAAATATATCTCATTAATTGACCTATTTTCTTTTAAACAGCGATGTGTTAACTGGGTCATTTGTCAGGGCATTAAACTTCAAAGAGTCAACCTGGACTACACAGGTAAATGGACAAACTTTACGGTATTAGTGCCATATTGTTCATTGATATGTTAAGTCCAAGTTATTGGTGTTGTTGTCAGCCAGTGCTAAAATGCAGTACAGTGAAGTAGCATTTAATTTTTAGAATGCTGCCCGATATATCCCCGTGCCAGCAGTCAAATTATGTTTAATTCCTTTCTGTTTATGTATTGTACCACTTCACATACTTGCGCAACAGCACATGTAAACAAACATAACCTATATGAACTATGAACCATTTATCAGCTCAAGGGAGAGATTACTCATCATCTGATGCTTCAGCTGGAGTATTTCAACATAATCATTATTTTAATTGTTTTTATCATTATTATTTACAAGTAATGAGGCAAAGACCTTTTTGTGTATCAATTATATTTGTAATTTAAGTTCAACTTCTCCATTATCTTTAGATTAATTCAGTAAATTGGTTAAAATTCAATCAAAATACCAAGGAAAGAAAATTCAATTAAGAACTGTTTCGATCTTAATTAATTACTAAAGGTCTCCCTGTATTTTAACAAGTTCTATTTCAGATAGGCAGATACATAAAAAAGTCATTTTTTAAAAATTTTTAGAAACCCTAAGAGATTTATCTTTTTGTGCATTTGAAACACATGAATGATTCAAATAGGTTTCTTCCAGGTTCAGCAATTTCCTTTACACATAAAACATATCCTTACTTGGTAATTGGATAAGATTTTTATTTAAAGAGTTGTGTATAATCTTTATACTCGCAATGTTACCTTTGGCGAGGGGCTAATAAAAATCTTATCCAATTAAAAAATATGAGAGTTTCGTTTGTAACAAATCTACTCACTATATTTATACATAATGACCTCATTAATATTCGATGTGTTCAACACATTCGGCTTAGGGGTAAAATATCATTTTATAGGATTAAAATTACAATGCTAAAAATTTGTTATAAATCTAATATATAAAAAGTAATTAGGCATCATTATTAAACATCTATCGAAATAAAGATAAGGGTTCATTCATGATCACGTAAAGACTTTCAGGATCATTGGGAATTGATCATGAGACCAATCAGTATTTATATCCTGATAGATGTTTTAAAATGTTTCCTGTTTCTTTAGAAAATTAAAATTGATGAAATTTATGATTGTTCCTTATTGGAAATTTTTCATTTATTCGTTCGTTTAACAATTGGTTCTGTATTAAATGCGAAACAAGGGACATATTGGTATTGTTTTATTAATAATTTCATCCAAATAATTCTAGCATATGATGAACAATTTCAATAAACACTCAGGTGAATTGTGCATGCAATATTAACATTTCAGAAATGGCCCTTACTGACAAGGATATAAAGGAGAAAAATTAAATCTCTTTCTTTTTTTTCAAAACTGACCAGCCAGTTCATTTGAAAAATTCATGGATTATTTTCGGATTATTCCTCGTATATGTATCTAGTTGAAATGATTTCTGCAATATATATATATATATATATATATATATATATATATATATATATATATATATATATATATATATATATATATATATATAAACACACACACACATACGTGCAGAATGAACTTTTCAACATTGTCATTGAAAGAAAAAAATAATTCTTTTTCATCTAAATGAAAAAAAATAACGAACAGTGATCAGTCTAAAAAAAAATCTAAAAAAAAAAAAAAACAATACATATCTGTGAACAGGCCATAAAACACAGATCCCCGGAAATTTCAGAGGTGGGAACAGGAGCCTAGGAGGAATAAGCATCCCCTGTTGACCGGTTACTTCCGCCGTGAGCCCTATGTATTGATCAGGTAGACGGAATATTTAAAACTTAAGAATTTTGAAAATATTCAATTCGTCGGAAGGGAATTATTTTTTCGGTGGAAACAGCATCAGTATTTCACACATCTATTAAGGTAATTTAAAATATCTTTGATTACTCTTCGTTCAACGCTAGGATTGGTCCTCTGGGATAAGATCGTAATACGTATATGCTATTGCTTGTATTTGCAAAGTTTCTGGTCTAATTCTATGGTCTTATATTTGAAAAATAATAATGAATTGTTTCAAATCAATAGCCACTATATATATATATATATATATATATATATATATATATATATATATATATATATATATATATATATATATATGAAATTGTACCACAATGAAGATACAATCTTGACGAAAATATATTTGTCTTTTCTGTGTCGCACTTTGTTAATTTGATTATTAGCTTTGTTATAAAAAGATATCAATTTCAAAATTTCAAAGAAAGTAGTTCCCGTCAGCCACGTACCTATTTTCACTTGATTCGACACTTATTTAGTGTTTCGGCGGTGTGATACGTGGTTTATAATTTTAATAGTTTATTAATAAGCTGCAAATCCGCCATCACCAGGAGCCTATTTACACCAATGCTGTACTGATTAATTAATTAGTGAGGATGGAACATATGACCCAGATTCTGGTTGCGTTTATAAAACACATAATTAATGAGGAGAATTGTATTGCAACCGTTGTTTTATTAAGAGTGTATGAAGTGATTTAATAATTTTCGTTCTATATTTTGGAGTCCAGAATTGTATTTTGTTGCAAAAACAAGGGGGATCTCTTTTTGTAGTATCATTTTTCGCTAAGAGAACTATGTCCTATTGCAATTATCTGGGACATTTTCCCTATAATCTCTCTTTATGAGATTCAATTAAAATCCACTATCAAATTTATTAAGAGCAGTAGGCCTAGTATCACTTTTGTTTCGTAAATTCGATAAGTTTCGCCTTTCATGAATCCTTTAAAAATCGAAGGAATGTGATCACTTCTAGATCCAAACATCGAAACTGTCTAGAAATGCATACTTTGCCTAGAATTTTCGTTTGGGACTTTAAGAGATGGGTGAAGCGCATTGGTTATAGCGAAAAAATCACAATTCCAATTCTCATTTTCAAGAAAAATAATAAATCCATCGTCGCGATAGCGACTGGGATATGTAATTTTTGAGAAAAACAAATCACATGCAAATGATTCTAGTGGTTCAGAATTGAGGTAATTAAGAAGAAGAAATTAATAATGATAGGCTGTTGTATTTCTTGATAAATCGAGAATTAAACACTTTTAAGTAAGCAAATCTTGTATATTTCATTTAATTTTAATTTCAAATTTTTAAAAGATAAAAAGTATCTAACATAGATGTTTTTCTTTCTCTAATGATAAAAAATATACCCGACTAAGCTTATGTTTATACAAGGAATTTTATCACCCTGCATCTGTAAATGCATTGACATTGATAAGGATTTCCCAATGCTTTTCCAATTTAGCAATCAATATCAAATTAAACTGTTATCAGCAGCGCAATGTTTCAAGATGCTGCAGTTTTTTTTATATAAGAGGTGAAGTTTTATATACAGAAATTAAAATTTTGACCTGACGCTTCCTTTCATTATATGTGTGTTGAGTTTCTTCTGTCAAAATCACTATGTAATGTAATTATAATGAAGAAACACTATTATATCAAGTTAGAAACAACAAATCGTTGGCAAAAAAACCTTGGTCCTATTGATTCCTTGCGTTTTATATGAAGAAGAAAAAACCTGAAAATACTTCTGTGTATTATTTATGATGTAATCTATAAGAGGGATACTATAAATATTTGTGCCAAATTGTGGATTGAAGCAGATAGACACATAAATATATATCATTTTAAGAAGGGGCTTTGAACATAAAGCTCAAAAAAGCATGATATGACGTTATTTTATTATGAAAGCAATACCTAAATGAAGATCTTAATGTCTATTTTCACATCTGCAACACAAGTACAATGGTTTACTCCAAGTGTTTACTATGTCTGTTTTCATCAGCATATGATCAGTAGCAGATTTTACCTGGTCAGTTATGTCTCAGTGAGAAGGAGAATGTCACATTATACTGATGCATCTGTGTGCAAGCCTATATCTATCCTATTTATTCCCTGGCCTACGGCATATCTTATTAAGCAGATATGCAAAATGAATGCATTTGAGTAGACCTTAATATTTGTTTGCTTAAACTGAATAATAATGTATTTGTATTTCAATCTATTTAACATATATATTGATTTTAAAACATGATGTACAAATAATCATTAATACAGTATTTCTTGTCCAGATGAGACAGATTTTATGGAGATCGATTTTTCCGACAAAGACTTTGACGAGAAATCAGATGAGGCAGACATCGATACGATCTCTCTCATCGCCAAGAATAACCCAGAGTTTGTCTGTCTGAAGCAGATCCAAGAGCGCCACTACTGGGGAAGCTTCCACTCTCTCATGAGGCAGTTAGGATACACGGGTTACTTAGAGGATCTGCGGAGGGGCCGATGTAAAGGGGTATTCATCAGAGATGACGTGGCAGAATTAGTGAAGCCCTACTATGGAACTGTGCATAGGAATAGAAGACTTTTCCCCTTTAAGGACTTACAAGGGACTAAACCTGGTAGGAGCTGACCATGTCATTTCCAACGGAAAAAAAATTAATTTGTGACCATAGTATTAGTTTCTATGTATTAGATATGTATATATTTATCTACCTCAAGGACATAATATATAAGGTTATTTGTTCCTAAAGAGGCCAGCATAATTAGAATTTTAAGTCGCTGTGAAGGTTGTTTTTGATTCCTGTATATATAGCTGCTGAAAGACGTATCTGCTGTAAAGTTTCAATTCAACATGAAAATTGATTCCGAGAAGAAATTTGTAAAGGAAACCATTGTTCCAAAATTATGAAAAAAAACACGTAATAAATTAGGATAATGTATAGGGCAGTCGTAGACTTTTCTCTTAGAATTTGTAACGACACGGCATAAAGTTTCGCTTCAAATGTCTACATTTTTTTGTATGGATACATTTTTGGAAAAGAAGCTTTGTTTTGCTTTACATTTGCCTGTTATATTGTTGAGACCTTTGTTGAATATTTTTACAAACATGTCACTGCCTGTATAACATGTACATGTAGTTAATTTACACAAATCCTTTGATTGTAGTTAATTTACATAAATCCTTTGATTGTAGTTATTTGTGAAAGTTTTCAATCTCAGGATATTACAATAGATATAACATTGAATACAGCAGAATCTTTACGCGCAATTCAAATTGATACGAAATGTATATTTTTTTTTTCATTTTTAAATTTTTTTTAAATTGGGAATTCACCTTTGACGATATATTTTATTAGGTTATATGTCATATTTATAACGTTTTATTGACCCCGGTAAACCTGATAATACTTACAAGTATACAATGTATAAATATTTGTTACTAGATAAAAATATATATCTATTGAAAATAAATATCTATTGAAGCATAGTTTCATAGACGCTTAATCAGTAAATACTATGCATTGGAAATATTCTCCGTCATTTGTACAAAGAATCGAATAAAAAGATGGAGTATGAATGTGTGGGTTTAATTAAAAAAGTATTCTGTGAAGAAAGCCATATTTATCATATGGTCCTCTCTAAACGCTGAACTATGATTCCTGGCAATGCAATAAGACAGGAATTGCGCGTGTCCAGACTTTTAAAGTAAATTCAGTAGACTTGTGTTTTATGTCACTTTGAATATTATTATGTTTATTGTTCAGCTTAATTTCATTGCGTTTCCTCTGTTATTATCTAGTTGCAGATTGCTAATCTGGAAAAAAAATTGGGATGGAAGATGAGAGTGTAAGCTAAAGTTTAAGGCATTGAAAAAGTGTATGTACATTCATTGCAAACAAAAACAAAATGGTTCTCAAAGTAAATCTTTGTATTCTTAAAGATGCAATCTCATAGTGTTCCTATAATTGTTTGTTCCTTGGGTATTTTTAACCACTTCTACCACAAAACATTCCCCCAAAAAACTCTTGGACTACCAGGAAACAGTTAACTCGCCTTTAATGAAGATCAGAGAAAAAAATACATGCAAAGTATAATGGACTAAGTAGGAATTGCAATGAATACCTCGATCATCAACCTTTAGATTTGGGCTTTTTCAGGGAAGTAAAAGCCCATACCATATACCTGGAAAGGAGATGATAACGATATATTAATCACATCTTACTATGTAGTACTATATAGATTTATTAAAGAAGTAAAGAAGAGGCGGAAAAAAATGTCCTGATTTTCCCTATATTTTATTTTCAAACACCTTAAATGTTTGGTGCTTATTGCGTTGGGCTGTATAAACGACAATACTATGCATTGATGATATTCACTCTCATTTGTACAAAGAACTAAATAAATAGAGGATATTCAATGTTTTGTAGATGAATATGGAATTTATTTCACGAGTGGGACAGGATTTGTTTTATATTTTCACGAGTGCGAAGCACGAGTGAAAATATAAAAAAAATCCCGTCTCACGAGTGAAATAAATTCCATATTCATCTACAAAACGTTGAATTTTCTGTTTATTGCATTTTTTTTTTTTAATTTTCCCTTTGCCTCTGTCTTTTCTTAACACAGTGTCATATAGGTTTGACGTCATAGTTGAGCAATTTAGACGTCATAGCTTACCAGGTAAAAAACATTACATAGCATGGATTTTAGCAACATATTTGGGAAGAAATTTGCAGTTTTAGCTCTGCAAAGATGGTTAGTTACTATCTCTGTCTTATGACAGGCCAGAAATTATTATTTACTTCCTTTGATATCCTTTCACACTGTGAGAAAATATCATTTTGGTATCCTTTCACACTGTGAGAGAATATCTCTTTTATTCAATAAATAAATCACAGTATTTCACTGTTGAAAATGTAATAAAAAGGAGTATATTAGTATATGAAATATATACTATCGATTGGCTGGTAGATGCAGGTTTTAATTCTTAAAAAAAAGTATTTTGTCAAAAAGCCATATTTATGATGGATATATGAGAATGTTACTCCGTAGACGCCGTTATAATTTCGGACAAAGTCATTCTGAGATTAATATTTAGGTGCAATTTGAAGGGTTTTTTTTAAAGATTCAGTAGTGCTTTTTTTGTCCTTTTGAATATTTTTATGCTTACACGAATCGTTCAAACTAATTTCAATATCATGATACTTCAGAAGTAGTCGCCCACGTGGCGCAGTGGTTAGAGCGTCTGCTCTAGAGTCGCGAAGTAAGGAGTTGATCCTTACGTCGCGGGTTCGAATCCCACTGTGGGACGTGGAGACCGGTCCTTCGGATGAGACCGTATAAACCGAGGTCCCGTGTCGCTGGAGGTGCTGGCACGAAAAAGATCCCTCACTGCTCAATGGCTGTAAGTGCCGAGTATAGGACAAAATTTGCAGCTCTCCACCGTTAAGTGGTGGCGTCTCCATATGAGTGAAAAATTCTCGAGAGTGACGTTAAACAACATACAAACAAACAAAAAACTTCAGAAGTATTATTTAGCTGCAAATCTTTACCTTATGATTGCTTGTCTGGGAAAAATATAGGGATACCAGGTCAGAAAGCTACATTTCAATGCATTCAGAGAGTTAGCAAAAACTGTGAAGATTTCTCGAAGTTTATCTCCATAATTTTTTAGGTGCAATCTCACAATCTTGTTTCGATCGAATTTCTTTCCCACCGAAGAAACACACTCCCCAAAGCTGTTTTGAAAACTGGTTTAAAATTTGTCTGTCTAGAGATACCGTGAATAAATTCTTTCTCGGGAAAGAAACACAATTCACAAGAACGGAATTATTCTTACAGAGATGTCGAAAACTGTCCGTCCTGTAAGGCAGGTGTAACGACGAAAAGTGACCCCCGTAGAATATTGACCGGGGGGTCAAATTTCTCCGTAGAAAAATGACCCCCCGGTCAATTTTCTACGGCAAGTAGGGTCATTTTCGACCGTAGAAAACTCTTCCAGGCCGGTAATTCTACGACTCCACACACGTTGAAAAATGACCCCCATAGAAATATGACCTCCTACTTTTTCACTATATACACAATATATAACCTTTAGAAATGAGATGTGATATGCGTTAATCCGATGTTGGGAAGGGTCGGTGAAGGCCTAGAGTCTCCCGATTTTTTTCTTTAAAATGTATATTGGAGGAGGAGCAAAGTACCTTCCCCTCCTTAACGCCACTTCTCAATACTAGATCATATACAATGTACGTGGAAATATGTCTTTTTTTTCTTGCATCCCAATGAGTATACATTATTGAAGAGCAATAATTCATATATATATATATATATATATATATATATAATTTTTAGACAAGGAAAAAAATTGAGAAAGCACGGCATATGAAACGTACAATAGCGTCCAATATGGAGATGCTATCATTAACTGTAATTACTGCTTCATTTTTAATATCATGTAATATCTTTTTTCCCTCTTTTAGGTTCATTTATCCTTATGTATTACATGAATATTAATACCCCCGCTTCGAATGAAATGGGGGTATATACCTTGTACCCTGCGAATCTCTCTGTTGTGTGTGCGGGGTGAATGTTTGTGTCTGACTGTCTGTCCGAAACATTTTTTTTCGCTGCAGTTTTCTCTGCAACAACTCATCGCAGATGCTTGAAATTTTAATACACTCTTTGGTTCGGCTATACAGTGATATTCATTTTGGGACAAATCTTGTCCGTCTGTCTGTGCGGATGGGGTATCACTAGAGAGCACTGACTCATAGATTTCTTGTTTCCCCTGTAATTTGTGTACTTAAAATTATTGTCTGTAGAATTGTATTATACAATGACCTTGTCAGCAAATACAATTTATCATTGAGTCAAATGCTGACTAACGTTTTTCATACTAATTGTTAGGCCATTATTTACACACTGAATTGTCGACGGATTTTTCCGTTATTTCCCGATCATGACAAGAAGCACACGGCGGGTGTGACCGGTCGGCAGGGGATGCTCACTCCTCCATTGCACCTGATCCCACCTCTGATGTTTGGAGGTCCGTGTTTGCTCTGCTCCTATTTTGTATTGTTTAGTGGACCTTTGAGCTTGAATACTGTTCGTTATCTTCATATATTTCATTATCTCTATTGTAGGAAAAAACGAATGTATCTAAATAACGTTAACTATGAAACACTATATATATTGTTTGTATCAGGATCGCTATATGAAAAACACTGATAGTCTCTAACAAAAAAAAAAAAAAAACAAAAAACAAAAAAAAAAAAAAAAAAAAAAAAAACAACAACAACAACAAAAAAACTATAGTTCACCAAAGTTAACTATAGTTTAATGCAGTATCAAAGTTTTTACTATAGTAAATCAAAGTATTTTTTTGGATATATGATTGTGATATGTTTTGTTCTTAAATTTATACGTGAACATTTTTTTATATTTTAGGGAACTACAAGGGGTGATCAGAAAGTTCGTGAACTATCTCGTTATTTACAAAACCACAGTTCAGATCAAAATGAAATTTGGCACACAATTAGTCATAAACATGTTCTATAAAAGCAGATATTTGCTCCACGTTTGGACGTCACAATATAAAAATTACTCAATATGTAGATGAAGTGACAAAAAATGAATGACTCAGTCGTACTTGAGTAACGAACGGCTTTAAAGTTTAACGTTTATCTTAGAAATTCCTTTTCAGTGGCATAAAATAATTTGTACACGATTTATGAAGACAAAAAGACATGGCAGAAGTTCAATCATTTATTGGATTGATTATTTTAGTGAAGGAAGGGAGGTGGTTAAAATGATGTTTGTTCTGGTGCCCAGTGAAAGCAAGCTTGGGAAGAGATGTGTCCTTAGTTGAGCAATCTGTAACGAAAGATCGCCAAATTGCAGTTAGAAAAATAGTTGAATATCTTAACAATAACATAATTATTGAAACCCTAAAGTATCGTTTACCTTAGATTTTAAACATATCATATATGATAAAAAGAAGGCGCCCATACTTTATCCACAATGGATAAACGACGCGTCCCAATACAAAAGAGTCGGGTTTTGATGGTTACTATGCTCATACTGGGAAAAGATATCCTTATCCACCAATCCTATTTATGACAAATGGGCTTTTCTTGTTACAAAAATTAACTTGCATGGTAAGAAATATAAGACTCGGAAAAATCTTTTAATTTCTGTGAACAGAACGCTACGGAGCATGTCACGTGAACGCCTGGATCACGTAATTCGCACATGGACAGAACGATGGCAGATGTGCATTCAATTCGGAGAGGACCACTTTAAAAAATAATAAAAATCGAAATCTGATTTTATTTCTTTTATGGTAGTAATTCAATTACTTCGCGAACATTTTGATTACACCTCGTATTTTTTGTTCATTAACACATCATCCCAAAATTTTACATTACAGATATCAATTTAAGAAAAGTTCAGCTTTGAAATCTCAAAAAAGGTCCAAACAAAGTTTCATAGTTAATTAAAGTATCAAAGTATTTACTATAGTTAATAATAGTAAACTATAGTTAAGTATAGTTAACTATAGTGAATTTTTGTAAGGAGTGCCCTTGATTGTGATAGAAATACTTGCAATATGCTCCCCTTCCTTGATCATTATATAGATACATGTATAAACTACATCCTCATGCACATATGCATTATAAAACTCCTTGTAAGTAGGGTTTTTGATGTAAGAAAAAAGATTTTTGTTTACTTTTATCCTAAAAACTCGTATATTTTTAAACCTCGTATCACACAGCAAGATCGCTTAATTTGTGTATATAGGAAAGACATGGCCAGATTTTTTTCTATAGGCTAGCAAATTTAAAGAGTGGGTTACATCCTCGTTACCCACTCCTTCAAAACTTACC